TCGTATACACAAGACTGTGATTGATGAACCATGTATCACTTCTAATATGAACTTCAGGACGGAGAATGCCCAAGACTACGAGTAATCGCATAGTCATGCGAACAAACTTAGAACCCAGTACGACTCCTGTAACCAGATCGCACTACACCCACAGAGATGCAAGAACTGTCAGGTCAAACCTAACGAACTACTCAGCGATGGAATTGAAAGACCAAGCTCCTCACCATGGAGAGCTCCAGTCTTGTTCTTCAAGAATAAAGACAAATTGTTTCGTAGGTCCATCGACTTTAGAGACCTCGACAAGATTCCCATTAGAAATCATTACCCTCTGCCTCGCATAGATGAATTGCTCGACCAACCGCAAGAAATGATTTACCTTTCAGAAGTGGACCTGAGATCCGAATATCACCAGTTGCGAGTATTAGAGAAGGATGTCCCGAAGACAATCTTCCAAACTCGATGCGGACGCTACGAGTCCGTAGTGATACCCCTCGGATAGGACCGATGCGCCGTAATATTCTCGAACTTAATGAATAGGGTACGCCATTCTTACTTGGATCAGTTCGTCATTGTCTTTGTAAATGACTTACTTATCTTCTCTCGTAGTAAGAAAGGACTTATCTTCTCTCGTAGTAAGAAAGGAATCATAAAGAGCATCTACAACAAACCATAGAAACAATACGATCAGAGAAGCTTTACACGAAATTCTCTAAATACGAGTTTTAGAATTGAAGAGTCAAATTCCTAAGACGCAATGTTAGTAATGTGGGAATTCTTAAGGACCCTTTCAAATAATCAGAACCGTTGAGAATTTGTCAGCACCAATTACGCCAACAAGGATTCGCCAAATTCTAGGTCTCGCTAACCTACTGTCGTAGTTCATTTAGGACTCCTCGTAAATTACAGAACCTCTTATGACTTCGACCCAGAAGAGAGCTGCCCTTGACTAGGAAGAGAAGCAAGAGGAAGAAACCTTTGGAACTCCAGGTGAGAGACCCGATTTCTTTGGAAGCCTCACTCTGGGAAGGCTTGACACGCTTCAGAAAGCGTGGAAGGCTAAAATCCAATATAGTTAGGACCTCCGAGATTCTTGCCAGAATCGGCCCTGTAACTCACAAATTCAACCTACTCGCGAACTCAGTAACGTACATTCTACCCTCTATGTCTCGAACTTGCAAAAGTACCCATTCGACGAGACTCTTGTAATCCCACTCGACGAGATCGAGTTCCACAAGAGCCTCACCTTCGTAGTAGAACTGTGGTGACCATGGACCGAGAGGTCAGACGAACGAATCAGAGCTGTTTCCCATTAGTGAAAGATTCGTTGGAGTGCCATGAGAAGACCTGAATACACTTGGGAGCACGAAGATCAGATGAAACAAAATTACCCGCATCTTTTTCCCTAATCCTCAGATATGTACCTTACATTTGAATTTCGGGACGAAATTCCCTCTAACGGGGGGATGATGTGACAACCCGATATTTCGAGACAATGTAATGTAACACCAGTCAAATTTAGGTAAAACTTTAACTTTCCTAAAATCTTATTTGAGTTAAATAAAGTGGAAGTAATCGTATCAAGGTTTTCGTACATATAAAGAGCACTATAATCCGAGTTATAACGAAGGAGTTATGACCATTCTAAGATTCCCGACAAAACCGGCAATACGGATTGACGTAAAAACGCGAAGTTTCGATACAATAGTTTTTAGCCTTAGGTGTCTAAACAAAAGTCATAGAAAATGTTAAACCGTGAACATACATAAAAAGAACGCCCAAATCTAACTTCGTATGAGGAAGTTATGATTTTTCTGAGTTTCAGGATAGCGGTAGACAGCTAAAAACTCGAAGTTTAGATCGAGCGATTTTTAGCCAACGCGACTTAAATGAGAATCGAAGATCTCAACAATAGTAGTGCAACGGCGAAAACTCTAACAAAAACGGACACCGGATGAAGAAGTTATGGATTTTTAACGAAAATATCGTGTCCCGGCCTATTAAATAAAATATAATTAAAAATAACTTCAAAATTAGCCGACGGAGTCTAAATGAAAGTTGTAGGGCATATTTTCAGCTACGCATGCATATAAAGAACGTCGAAAACGGAGCTCGTACGCGAAAGTTAAGGATTTTACAAGTTCGGGGTCCAAAATCTGAGGCTGTCAGCCCTGCCACGACGTGGCACAGTTTGCTGCGACCCAGCAAGTGACTGAGGGCGTCCAATCAACGGAAGGAGATAAGGTTTGCTCCCCACGACGTGGCCAGCCTTAGCCACGATGTGGCACACCAAAATCCACCCTATAAATAGATTTCGAGGGCAGCCGGCTTTGGTTGCTCATTTCTATCATTTCTCGTGCCAAAACTCTGCGTTTAAGCCCCCGAAGCCCTCCCAAAGCCCCGACCTTCGCATCCAAGTCCTGAAGGAAGGTTTTGCACTCCCGATATTCCCGAGATTCCCGAGAAAACCAACTCTTCCAAGTCGAAATTCTGCTCGATTATCATCTCGCTTTCTCTCGTCAATCAAGTGAGTTCATACCCCCTTAATTAACCTTTTAAATGTTTCTAAATGCTTTTAGGGGGGGGGGGGGGGGGAATACAAGTTGAATCATGCTAGTTATCATATCAAAAACACGAGATTAATAACCCGCATGCAAAAGGATTTACTACACTTTAATCTGTTTCACTAAATATTAAACTTTAAACGGTTTTCCTAAAACGTTTTTTTTTTACTAGTTTAAATCTCTTTATCAAACTGTCTTACATTCTGTATACTTCCTTTCAAAATCCGTTACTGCTGTGTTTCAACAAAGGTTTTCTTCACATAAACTGTCTTATCAAACCGTTTTCAAATTGTTTCATAAACTGACATCAAGTCATCTTTCCTTAGTTATCAAGCTTTTCAAGCGTTTTACAAAACTTCTTTTATACGTTTATTTGTTCAAATGCAATGCCTATATATCATGTATATATAGTCGTAAAAGTTCCATCAGTCAGTTCAGTACCTTTGGGTAGCAAAGGTATACTTCTAAGTTATACTCGTACATTACAAATAACTATAATAGGTATAGTTAGGAGACACTACTTGCCATTCCTAGTACGAGGAATTCACACAAGAGTCAGTTCATTCATGAGTCTATACTACATGCTATATGAAGGGATATACTTACGTAGATTCCTCTTACATGAATACATGGATACTCTTACTAGAATACTTTTACCTAGATACTATAGGGTAAGATACTATTACATATTATATGTGTAGGGGTTTTTATATAAAATCCGTCTGTCCTAGTGCAAAAGGATACAAAAGGGATTGACCATTCCTAAACCCCTGCTAGCTACAGAGGAACAATGCACATCTTCGGATGTCTACGGTTGGTACCATCGTTGGTATACAAGAGGGACTAACTATTCCTATACCCGGCTGTTAGCAACAGAGGTTAAATAGACATCTACGGATGTCTACAGTTAATACATGTACGGCGAGTTTACTCGCTGCAAATATCCTGATACAGAAGGATGCACTCCCTGTTATTATATTATCTTCTTGATTTCCTTCACTTTATGTCACGTTCATATAATCGATGAGGTAGATTAGATTTGAATAATAACAGTGGTACAAGGTAAAACTTTCTCTTACGTAGAGGTTCATACTTTCAAAACACAAGAGTCTTGGTAGAAGACTACTTTTATACTAATAGAAAATATGGGGTTTTCTAGGGATTTCACACTTATACCAAATGTTTCATTTAATATTCACCAGCCTTTCATAACAACTTTCCAAAACAATGACACTAAAATACTTATGAATTCACCAGCTTTATTGCTGATACTCGCTTTTCAAAATAACTTGTATTCTCATGTCACAAATAGACAGGTACCGATGCAAGGTTTAGAGAAGACGGAGCAGTCAAGACTCGTTTTCTTTTCTTTTGAGTATTCATTATGTTGTTCATACTATGAAAGAACACACTTGTAATTAACATTATACTATTAATGCAATGGATGATGTTGTTGCTTGTTTACTACTTTACATTGTTGTGATACTTGACATGACGTCCTCCACCCCAGAACGTTTCCGCCATTCTCGGTTTTAGGTTGTGACAAGTAGCTCGGCAGAAGTGAGACACAAAAATAATAATCTCTGAACCAACTGTGTCTTCACTCATAATCAGCAAGATGAATGAAGCCTTGAACCTTAGGGCTAAAATTGGTGTTAAAAAAATAATTGGTTGTAATAAAAATAATGGTTTTAATAAAAATAATTGGTATACAATAAAAATAATTGGAAAAAAAATAATGGGTTTTTAAAAAAATAATGGGTGTTAAATAAAATTAATTGGTTTAAAAAAATTTGGTTATAAAAAAAAACTTGAAAAGAAATGGGTTAAGGGTGGATCCATAATGAAAATGTATTCACTTAGGAAAATTGGTTAAGCTGAAAAAGGTAAGGAGTGGAGAGTCGGTACGGAGTGAAAAATGTTAGGAGTGTAAATTTCGGAGTGAAAAAAAATAGGGTAAGGAATGAAAAAGGGTAAAGGTCTGAAATGGGTTATTGTCCGGATTTTTTTTTATTCCGGAAATTTTGAGTCCGGAATGAAAGAGTGAATCCAGATTTTTTTTTTGAGTTCGGAATTTTGTTTTTTTTTTTTAACCGGAATGGTTGGGTTCCTAAGAAAAAAGAAAAGGGTCTAAAATTGGTTGATTTTCGAAGTGGGTTTTAAAAGAAAAAAGGTTTTGACTCCGGAAGAGTGAAAATGGTTCCGGAGTGGGCTTTGAGTTCGGAATTACTTTTGGGTCCGGAGTGGCTTTGAGTCGGAAAGCAAATGGGTTAGAAATGAAAAATTCCGGAATGGGTTACGGGTAAAATGGGGTTTAAAAAAAATTATGACTCCGGAATAATGAAGGAGGTTCCGGAGTGGTTTTTAGTCCGTAACAGGTGGGATGTGAGGCTCGGAAGTCATAACAGACAAAAAATAAGGCCGAAAGTAATGTGCATGCTATGGGACAAGAGTAGACCTTTGATTGATTGCACTAAATGCATAGGCCCGACATCTGTTGAGATGCATGCCAGCTGGAATCGATGTGATGTAGGGTTGTTGAAGCATCAGCATGCGTCTCACGAAAAATAGACGGTCAACTAACACAAAAACCGAGGAAAATGAGCAGTCTACCAAGGCATATGGGACGTCGCTAATGTGGCGCTGCATGATTGGAGCGTAAGGCACATTTGCTGGATGTGAGAGTGGTCTTGAGTGTTGCACCTTTAATGTATGTGGGACCCGACTAGGAGGTGGCGTGAGATGGCTTAAGGTCAACTAATAAGACAAAAAAACGTTTCCAACTGCCATTTGATGTGGGGCTCATACTGTTGACGTGTCGAGTGATGAGTGGAATGTGAGATACACTCGCTGAAGCTGTGAGCCTCAATTTTTGAATTGTTTCACCACTCATTCACGTTCAATTTAAAAAAATGGGACCCCATGCAATTAATGCTTTAAAACACCCAATTGTAGCACAATTTTTTTTTGAACAGCAGTATATATTAAGACAGACAAAATACTCTAGCAAGAACCTAAAGTAGAAAAAAACTTACAACCGAATTGGATTTTGCATCCATAACGTCCAAGATAACCTAGCCTTATAGTTCCTAGAATTAAACCAACGAAAGGAAAAATCCACAATAAAGTCAAACAGTCTATCTTTTTTAGGTTTAGAACTACTAAAAAGTAAAGCATTACGATACGTCGAAAGCACCCATATGACTACCATAAACACAGATTCAACAATCACCCGCTCCATACGAGCAATAGGTCTAACATCCATCCAATCCAGCAAAGCACTAATAGAGGAAAAATCTTGAATATCCAAATCTAACCAATGGGCAACCCGACTCCAAACCTGAACTGCAACCGAACACAACAAGAACAGATGATTAACACTTTCTTGAGAATTATGACACACCGGACACAACAAAGAATCTAACTCCACCCCCCTTTCAACCAAATTGACTCTAATCGGGATCCGATCCAAAATAACTCGCCACCAAAGAATATTAATTTTGATTGGGACATATCGGTTCCATCTAGTAGGAAAGCTACCGAAAGGCAGTCTCATATCATCCACCCAATTCCTTGTAGAAGTAACAGTAAAAATACCCGAAGGATCTAAATCCCAAATCCACTTGTCAGGCAACACCTCTAACCAAATAGGAGACAAAATCTCCACAAGACGATCCAATTGGGCCGAAACAACCCCTCCTCTAATCCCACGCCTCCAATGAAAATTCCAACCGTCTGAAGACCAGACCTCACTAACCATAGCATCTTGATTGGTAGCCAAAGCAAAAAGTCTTCCAAATCTCATCATAAAAGGAATATCTGAACACCAGGCATCCTTCCAAAACCTAGTATGAACCCCATCACCAACAACCCTATGCAAAGAATTAAGCGGGATACTACCCCTTTCATGGAGTTGATTAATTGAGCCAACAATAGCATTCCAAATCCCTCCTCCATAACCTAAATTTTTCCCATCCAAAAAACCGCCACCGTCCCCATAACAAAATTTAATAGTTTTAACCCAAAGGGCGTCCAGATCCTTAAAAAAACGCCACTTCCATTTATATAGAAGAGCTAAATTAAAAGCATCCAAACTACCAACCCCCAAACCCCCCTTCGCCTTAGAATTTAAAATCAAATTCCATTTAACCCAATGAATACGATTCTAGCCTTCTTCCATACCCCAAAAAAAACGAGCCCTTAACGCCTCAAACTGACGACACACAGTAACAGGTAGACGGAAGATAGAGAGGAAAAAAATACCCAAACTCCCCAGAACCGATTTAAGAAGAGTCAACCTGCCTCCAATGGACAACACCTTCACCTTCCAAGAAGCTAACCGTTTCTTAAAACGATCAATAATCACTTGCCATCCTTTAATATGGTTCATGGGTTCTCCAACTGGGATACCCAGATAGACGAAAGGAAGAGAACCAGCCGAACACCCAGAAAAAGAACTAAGCTATCAACCTCCAGCGAATTGACTCCCACACCAAAAAGTTTAGATTTAGTGAGATTAAGATTAAGCCCCGACACCAAAAAGAAGCATCTCAGAATACGAATCAAATTCTGGATATTAGTAGCATCCCACTCTCCTAAGAAAATAGCATCATTTGCATAAAACAAGTGATAAATAGTGACATTATTAGATCCCAAAGGAGCACCCCGGAACAGCCCTTCAGCAACCGCATCCTCAACCGCAATATGAAGACCTTCCATAGCTATAATAAACAAAAAAGGAGATAGAGGATCCCCTTGTCTAAGGCCTCTGAAAAGTTGAAACTCATCCGTAGGACTACCATTAACCAACACAGAAGATCTCGCATTTGAAAACATCCCCCGAATCCAACCTCTCCATTTATCCCCAAACCCGAGAAACAAAAGAATCGTATCCAGATACTCCCAGCTCAACGAATCATACGCCTTATCAAAATCAACCTTAAACAACATAAGTTTTTTCTTCTTCTTCTTAAACCACTTAACCAACTCGTTTACCACCAGAGGACCATCCAAAATTTGCCTAGATTTAAGAAAAGCAGACTGTTCCATCCCTACAACTTCATGTAATACCGGAGCAAGCCTATTGATCATCAATTTAGCAATAATTTTAGATTGCAAACCGATGAGACTAGTAGGGAGATAATCATTAAAGTGGATTGGGTTATCAACTTTAGGGATCAAAGTAACAAACGACGAATTACACCCCACGGGGAAATTCGGATTCTGAAAAAACTCTTGGACGAAAGCAATAACATCACCAGCAAGGATCTCCCAAAAGTGTCTAAGAAACCGGAAAGTAAAACCATCAGGACCAGGTGCGCGGTCCACTCCACATTCCCAAACAGCATTTTTAATCTCATCATCCGTGAACACCGCTTCAAGATTAGAGGCAATTCTCGAATCAAGGGACTTGAATCTATGGCTTCTCCGATTCAAGCTAACACCTCGAAAAGGTTGAAATTTTGTTGCAAAGAAGTCAAAAAAAGCCTTTTTCACCCTATATGGGTCCGAAATCCATTCCCCACCAATAGACACACCTCTAATCATTAACTGACGTCTTCTTTTTTTCAGTAAGGCATGAAAAAACGCAGAATTCTCATCACCCTCCACGGCCCATGTCGATCTCACCTTTTGCGCGACATCAAGCGATATAACTTTTTCTAAATTCGCCAAATCACCAAGAATACTTCTTCTCTCACGAATAATGTCTTCACTAGAAAGACCATTATCAATAGACTTATCAATATCCGCCAATCGACCTAATAACTGAGAATTAGAAGTTTGAGAGGCAGCCTTAGTCTCCGCATTCCAAGAACGAATCCTATCTTTAATAAACTTAAGTTTATTTTTAAACACAACAAACTTGCTCCAAGCTGGGTGCCCAACAAACTCAGAAGCAGCCCCTTTCACGACATCTTCAAAGCCCTCCAAAGACAGCCAAGAATTAAAGAATTTAAACGGAGATGGCCCATAATCCACATCATTTGAATGCAACAAAATAGGACAGTGATTGGACCACTTCCTGTCTAACACTGAAACCTGAAGATGATTAAACTTATCAAAGAACCCATCCGACACTAGGAATCGGTCTAATTTGCTTAACTTAGCTCCGATTTTATCAACTCTAGTAAACCTCTTCCCAACCATAGGAACATCGATAAGACCGTTCTCCTCAATAAACTCATTAAACGAAGAGACTGATCTAGGACAGAAAATAGATCCAGATCTTTCCGCAGCCACTCTAACAACATTAAAGTCCCCAAAGAAAACATAGTTACCCCCATTCCTCCTCATAAAAGCCGAGAGATACCCCCATAAATGTTGCTTACCCACTAAATCTTGAGGAGCATAAATATTGACCATAAAACAATTAAGATCAAAAGGAATCCACAGCCCACCCACGATAACCACATTACTAGTACAGGTAACACTAGATTTAACAAACACATTTGGATCCCAAACTGAGAGAATTCCCCCAGATCGACCTCGAGCATAACTCGTAGCAAAGTCAAAACTATAATTACCCCACATACTACGAATCTTGAAAAGATCATCTTGAGTCATCCTCGTTTCTTGTAAGCCCAGAAAAGAAACTCCAACCTGCAAACATAACGCCTTAACCCAACTTCTTTTTAAGAAGGACCGGGTACCATAAATATTCAATGAAAGACAATTCATTGATTCACTTGAACCACTCCAATACTAGACAAAATATTTTTAACCCGGTCCTTATTAGATTCCATATCATACCCAAGAAGCCCTCCCATTTCAATATATTGCTTCAACACATCATCAATATCGTCAACCACTACTGGGACTTTCTTTTTCAACATCTTGATGGATCCCAGGGAAGAAGAAGGTTTCTTTCTTTGAAAACCAGGAGGAGGCGAGATAGATTCCGAAACCTTCTCACCCTCCACTTCATCCACCGCTGTCTTGGGAGCATTAGGCGCCACGTTTTCAACCAACCTACTCGAAGAAACATCTCTCGGCACTACCGGATCACTTTGATTCGCATCAGTAACAGGAGCGGCAACAGCATCAATTTAGGAATAATCCCCATCCACTACCTGATTATCCTTTGTATTAATGTTAGTTTGAAAGAACCCACCTTTTCTATCCACAAACCCGGCACCTCTATCACCTTTACTATGTATGTTGGTCATACTGACAGAATCTTCATACCCCTCCTCCACCTTGTCGCCATCATTATCTTTAAAACCTTCAATCTCATCTTCATCAAAACATACGTCTACTTCCTCATCAACTGAAAGATCTGGAATATCCGACTCAATATCACCATCCTCCATCAAATCCGGTTCCCAGTTAGAAATTTCACGCACTGTAACAACATATTCTATTCCTTGTGCCACCACCCTAATCTTATCATGAATTAAAGAGGAGATCACAGTTTTAATACACACGCGTTTTGCAGCCAATGGAGCATTCTCGTCTTCTTCAAGAAAGCAAATATCACCCCAAAAATTAGCTATCTTTTTAACAGCAGCATCATTCCAAGCACAACAAGGTAGACCCAACAGCTCTAACCAAATAGCACGCTCTTTAACATAGAATCCATTAACAACCGGTCTAAATTCTGAAAAATAAGACTTAACCCCTTCACACTTCTTAAACCGAGTACAAGTATCCTCAGATAAGAAAGAGATAAACACCCATTCACTAGCAACATACTTAATAATATTCTCAAGGAATCCTTCTTCTTTCAAAAGAATACCCAGTTTTGGTATCAATCTGATATCTCTCAATTTACCAAAAATTGAAGACTGCCTGGACAAGGGGTTATCAATCTCTTTACCTTGTAAAGAGCACACTCCAGGGACAATTTTTTTTTCCTCTTTCACACCCGAATCTCCCTTAACTACATTTGCATAAGAGCCCCTCTGGACATTAACATGTGACTGAGAATTCGCCATATGTTCAAAAGATTTATGTGGTTTACCATTCCCTTGTGAATTCAACTTTTTAGCCTTCCCCTGTGACTTCACCTCTCCAAACTTACTCACAACCCGATTAAACCGAGCAATAGAAGCAAATAAGTGAAACGATCCCATCCAAATTTCATGCAGTCTACGTTCCAATCTTTTATAATCACTAACTTTAATGAATCGAACAAAAGCAAATCTCTTACCCAATTTTGATAAATTCCGAGCCATATAAACATCCACCACAGTCCCAATTTTAGCGCATACAACCCACAAGGACTTGGCATCAGCATTAGGAGGGAAATTGGTAACATAGAAGGAAGAAGAGAGAGCACAATTACTTAAGCATGTGTGTTTGAAGCTGATTGGATGCGTTTAATTCACGTGCATGGTAAGAGATTGGTGCCAAAAGTTAGACATGCTTTTTCTCATAATGTGCTTCTGACCAAAAAAAATTTGCAGCTGATTATATAATTCTTGAATACACATACAATTGTGTATCAGACTATTGTACACTCTGCAACATTATCTTGTACCCTCCGAAAAATATTTACCAAGTCACTTCAAAATCCATAGCATCTCCGAAAATCTTATCCACCACTCATTTTCATCTCTAAAAAAATCACATACTTCCAAGACATGACATTTGTTGAACCTCTTACCCTATAACCATATTCTTGTCTTTTTCTAAACACATTTTTACATGAAAAAAAAAACACCACCTTTTTAACATGGGACTTCATCTTCTTCAGCAAACATATTTTTTTCATAAACTCAAATTCATCAGCAGCAAAAATGTATGAACAGTAGCAGCAAAATTTTTATTTTTCTAGCAACATCACCAATAACACAGTAAATAACGCACACGAAATTTTTCAGTTGCGAAGGCTGAGAAAATCTTCAAGAATGACGAAAATCTTCAAGATAATAAACCAATCGGTATCGTTCCCTTGAAATAATCATGAGATCTTCAGGGTTTCGCTCTGATACCACTTGTAGGTGCCTATTTTATCGATTGGATCGGTGTGGAAGATATTACCAAGAAGATAATCATGTATGAACATGAAGAACAATATATGTGAGTAAAAACTGTAGTAGATATATAGGGAGATATAAAATATTACAAGAATACTCATGGGTTGGGAGAGATAACTCTCCCATGGTGGGAGAGATCACAGCACACTCTCTCTAAACTACAAAGTCTACATAGTGAACACTTACAAATAAAATGACCATCACCTCCACTTTATATACCAGTGGAGGGAATAAGCTTTTCATAAAAGGGAATATTCTAACCTAATAAACACATTTTCATGTTCCAACAAGAACTATAGTCGTTGAAGCTAGTCTTTCTTTTTCATTTTGAGTTGAAGCTGTCAATACAACGTGTTATACCCAAAACCGGTCTTTTATTGTTAAGCGTCATGGGAAAACTGCTTATGAACTACTGAAAGGAAGGAAACCATACATCTCTTATTTTCATGTGTTTGTTACATCTTGAATCGAAGAGACCAGCGCTCGAAGTTTTAAGCTAAAGTTGATGAAGGAGTGTTCCTAGTATACTCTAGAGTAATCAAGGCTTTCATAGTATTTAATCTTTCAAGGCAAATTGTTGAAGAAACAATTCATGTCACTTTTGACGAGGACACATTCATTCATGATCGATTTGATCATCCCTCCTTAATTCTGAATGAACTTACTTACAGTCCTCCAAACGTTGTTCCTGAGCACTTGTCAAATGACATTGATCCCATTGTTCCCAATGTTGATCAATTAATTAATTCACAATATATCTTTGACGATCTGCATGTTATCCCTAAAGAAGTTGAACCATCCAATCAGAAAGACTCCGCCCAAAATGCAATTGAAAGTTCTTATCCAAGAATCCTTCGAGATCATTCTGAATCCCAAATCATTGGAGATGTAAATTCTAGGATTCTCACTCACAGTAGAGTCAGCAGCAACTTCTACGTGTTTTTAAACATCGTCTCAATGATTGAACCAAAAAATGTCATTGATGCCTTGAAAGAAGCTGACTGGATTAAATACATGTAGGATGAGGTGAATGAATTCGAACATTATCGTGTGTGGAATCTTCTTCCCAAACCTCAAGGAAAGACTATCATTGGCACTCGCTGGGTTTTCAAGAACAAAACGGATGAAGATGGAATTTTCATAAGAAACAAAGCTAGGCTTGTGGCTCAAGGGTTCTGTCAGAGTGAAGGGTTAGACTATGATGAAACGTTTGCTTCTATTGCAAGACTTGAAGCAATTCGTTTGTTCCTAGATTTTGCCTCCTTCAAGAACTTCAAAGTCTACAAAATGGACATCAAGACAACCTTTCTACATGGAAATCTTCAAGAAGAAGTCTTTCTAAAACAACCGCCAAGGTTTGAAAATGAAGAGTTTCCAGATCATGTGTATCGTCTTGATAAAGTTGTCTATGTATTAAAGCAGACTCCTAGAGCATGGTATGACATGTTGGCAAGCTATCTTCTCTCAAGTTGATACAAACGAGGAAATATCGATAACACTCTGTTCATAAAGCAATCAGGATCTCATATCATTCTTGCTTAAGTGTATGTGGACGATATCATCTTCAGATCCACTAATGAAAAGCCAAGTTCAGAATTAGTGGAGGTCATTGCCAAGAAGTTCGAGATGAGCATGATAGGAAAACTAACTTTCTTTTTGGGCTTGCAGTTCAAACAACTAACTGATGGTATTTTTGTTTGTCAAGCTAAATATATTGTAGATTTGCTGAAGAAGTATGGTTTCTCTAATTACAAACCGGCAAAGACTCTAATTTCTTCATCAACATCTATTGGCACTGATCCAAGTGACATTGATGTGAATGCAACTCTGTTTCGAGGAATGATAGGCTCTCTACTTTATCTTACAGCCAGTCACCCTGACATTATGTTCGCTACCATATTGTGTGCTTGTTATCAAGCTAGTCCTAAGGAATGTCATCTTCACGCTGTCAATAGGATTTTTCGGTACTTAAATCATACACCCAATCTTGAATTATGGTATCATCATGACTCTGAGTTCAAGCTGGTGGGATACACTGACTCTGATCATGGCGGATGTGGCATTGATCGTAAAAGCACTTCATGAAGAGCTCAAATGCTTGGAAATAGATTAGTAAGCTGGTCCATTAAAAAGCAGACATCATTGGCTCGTTCTACCGCTGAGGCTAAATATGTTGCCGCCAGAAGGTGTCGTGCTCAGATTCTCTGGATTCAGAATCAGCTATTGGATTATGGTTTAAACTTCTCAAAGACACCTATTTGTTTTGACAACACCAGCGCCATTCAGATGATACAAAATCCAGTGCATCATTCCAAGACCAAGCACATCGACATCTGTCATCATTTCATCAGGGACATAGTTCAAAAGGGAAAAGTGGAATTGTTCTACATTCCATCTACTGATCAGCATGGCTGGAATTTTCACCAATGTATTGGATGAAAAGAGTTTGAACAAATTAATTGGAGATATTGGCATGCTTTTAATGTATTAATCGTTTTCTAACTGTTTTCTGTTATATGAAAAACACAAAAACAAGTGCTTCTTTTATTATGATTGCAAATTCTTACATTTAGTATTTACGTTTAGTATTTACATCTTATTGCTTCAGAATTTGTAAGGAGTGGATCCTTCTTGAAAGATCTCAATTCCCTTGGTGTTGAGAAAAAGAGTGTCATCGTGTCCTCTTCTTCTTGAGGATACCCTCTTTCTCCTTCACTCACTATTATGGATGCAAAGAGCAACCATCAATGCAATAAGTATTGTTTTCATCTATTGACTCATGATCCTAAAAAACCTCGAATGCATTCATGTTGATATTGAAGATATGATGGTTTTATGTATTCGAGCCAATTAACTCGTTGGTTACAAAGATTGGTCTTCACTTATTCACTTGCTCCCGATGAACATGAATCTTCGAATCCTTCTATGACGATTCAATAATAAAAGGCTACATCACTTGTGATATACTGTGTTGTCTTTGTGTGATATGGTTGATCTTTTTTTTCTCTTTCATAGCAGAAATTTCAAGTGGTAGATATCTCGGAAAATGGAAGTGCATTAATTACCATTCAATTTCAAAGATTTGATGGAACGAGTCTTTATCACCTTTCTAAAAAAGCTACACATATTTCGTTGTTTAAACTATTTTCTTGTTTGACTAACTCTTTTTTGTATTCTTATGTTGTTTATTCTTTTGTCCCATTTTAAAAAAAAAAAATCTGACGGTGGCAATTTTTGACACATCATCGTCCCTACAAGCATGTTGTTGTATGTGACAAAATCTCTCTAAGTTTCTCATCAACGATACCATCTGTTGAGAACATTGAGTCACCCCCTCACGCTAACTGTAAAGCATTGTATAAACTTTCTAAGTGATATTGCTTTGTCCAAATAAAAAAAATCGATAAAAAGGTTGGGGTGTTCATTTTTTATTCAATCATCTTTACCTGACCCTGTTCCTGGAAGCATGCTTGTCGTATGCATCAAATCTCATGTTCTGCTGAAACATTGAGCAAAATCCAATGCCTTACCCTGATTGCATAGTCATCAGTGTAAGAGTTACTTGTTTGGTCCTTAAATGAAAAAGGGTTGTTTATGTCCCTGAACTCCTAGTCTAAGCTATGACATGGTTACATTATGATTTAACGGTGAATCTTTTATTCTAGATTGCAACTTACTCCATGATATGGAAGTTTAAACCGCTTCTTTTTGATGAGTTAAGTTATTAATGATTCACGCTGATTTCACCTCAGTGTGACTAAAATAATCCATTCTTTCCCTTATATTCTTCTTTAAAGTTTTATGATTCAGCGTAATGTACCATACGCTGATGAGAGCTTGAAAAATTTGTTCTGATGGGTATATCATTGTCCGTGATATGTTACGCACACCTATCCACTCTTTCCATTTTTCTTCTAATAAAAGAGATTTATGATCCAGCGTATGACATCATACACTGATGAGATCTCGCAATACTATGTCAGTGAATGGTAGTTTAAGCCCATGCTATCAGGAGACATCACAATCTTACTATACTGCAAATTGAAACTCTATTCTACTCGAAGTTAGCTGTTGATGTCAATAAGGGGAGAGAATCTTGGTAAAACTGAAAATCTCGTTGAAGAAATCTCACTACTAGAACTACAAAAAATCACATTCTAAGGAGGAGTCGAGTCAAGCTGATGTCAACGTTCTCA